CTTAGTTCGCCTCGGGCTTCTTACGAGGCAGGAATTGCAAGTTCTCATACCCGCAGAAGTCGAGACACAAACTGCTCCCGCGAGGATCGGATTGGTACTCGTGCAACAGCGCTACTGGAACCAGAAGCGCAAGGGAGGCTGTCCGTAGGCGACGAGTCAGGGTTGGAGAGGAACTCGAAAGGCACAGTCAAGGTTGGCCCTAATGCTCAGATTGTCTAGCCCAAACACTCACCTTCGTTTCCCCTCTATGAAGGACAAGAGGGACTCGCCGCCCCGTGAGACCAAGGAGAACTCTGAGAGGAGGACGCGTCAGCCTACCGGTAGTACTGCCGGTCCAGGACCATCATCAATCAATATCAACCGTATTCACAACGGGGATGTGTTTACTGGCAGTTCCGTTGGGCAAGCCTCGAGAGATATCAATCATGGGCAGCGTATATCAGGTCGGACATTGAATCATCATCATTATGGTATTATGCCAACGACGACTTTTAGCTCCTCTGCAAGCTGTTCCCGCTGAGCGTCAAAGTTTACCACTACTTCTAACCATGGCGTTACAAATGGCTTTGACCGCCCACATGGACATTCCTGTCCCCGCCGCCACCAGTGCTTTACCCCATCTATCTCAGAGTCCAATGGAACGAGGCAGCACATCTGGTGAGTTCCTGGTCGTCAGTTGATGACAGACCTCCTTCATCATGCGAATCTATCAGTTTTGCCACCCCTGGAACCTTATCCCGACCCGGACAAAGAAACGCCCATCCGAGGTCGACCACACACACGCACCGACAGCGATGACTCGGTTGCCGCACAGATTCTACCTCCCAGAAGTTCCCACTCGTACCCCAGCGAAGAACCGTCAGCAACACCTCCAGATTCCAGCTCGCAAGACGGTACATCGAACGTTAAGGATCTCTTTTCTGGAAAATGCTTCGTCGAAGTCTGCATGCTAGCAATACTATTCACAGCCTCCATTATCATGTCAATGTGAGTTCTTGTATTTTTACATCCCTTTCCTGTCGTTATACTCATGGTTTCTCCTTAAGCTTGCGTCGTCGCTAGCCATGTAGGCAAAGAACTAGTATGCCTCTTACAAACGTGGAGTTTCTCGGGTGTTCATATTGTATGTATCTCTCTCTCTCTCGACTCAGAATTCTTTTTCACACAGTCAGCTCCCTCCTGTATACTTCTTCTGTCATCGCCTCTTGGGCTTGATATGATTGCTACTATGTGGCTTGTTTCTCGTGAGTTTCCGTCCCTTTCGTCTCTCAAACCTCCTGAAACCAAACAGGGACTGTCCCCCCGTTGTTTGTCCCCAGATTGTAAAATTGTGCCGAAAGGCGAACGACCCATGATGCACATTATACGCCCTCCGATTGAAGGTACCTCGTACGAGTCTTTAGCCAGGACTAGCTTACGAAGTTATGGCGACTGCTATGAATGACCCCTCGTCCAATGGCGGTGCGGTAGTGTTTGTACTGACCGACACCGTTCTGTGAACTTGTGGTTAAACTCAGAACCGCCCAGGTTCCTTCTTCAACCTAAGACTCTGGCCTTGCACCTATTTTTTCCTCGTTCCGTTTTTTGCTTTTGGATGCTTCTGGAAGACTCATGTTCTACAGGCCCGGCGCTATCTCTCATTGATTCGACCCTCAATTACATATATGCATACCTTATATTCTACGCTGACTATCCATTCGTACTTTATCGCTTCTTTTCTGCACCCTACAACCTCCTTCTAGACATCTTCTATCAAGTACTCCCCTCCGTCACGTTAAACCACGATTGAAGCATTCCTGTGTCAGCGTCATGGCTTGTTTGATAGCGAAGGCAGACCTAGAGCGACCCGTCAGACGTTAGTCGAGCGAAGGTCAAAGACCACACACAAAGGTAGTCATAGAGGTAGTCGGGGCCTTCGAACTTCAAGCAGTGAAGCTACGGAATGAAATGGACTTTCTACCTGCCAAACCCTCAGTCAACGTCCATGTCGAGTGTCTCAGTCTTTGTTACATCACGCGGGATTACCGAGGGGTATTGTCAGAAATGCGGGCGACCAAAAGCTAGTAGTAGGTCCAAGAATCGCATAGACCAATTCCACGTCGAGTATATCTCTCCAGTAGTAATTGAGCGTAAGCAGTAACCTTGGTGCACCTACCCGACCTTCAGGGGTTGGGACTCTCCAATGTTATCGCTGCGGGGACGGCGTGTATATTGGTCAAAGCACGTCGCAAGGGGCACAAACTCATGCGAGCCGCCTTGAGAGCTGGCAGGTTGTCGAGTTCTAGAGAGAGGTAGTCTAGTAGGGTGAGCTTGGGTGGCGTATTCAGTTGGTGGAGCTTCGGATGTTGACGTCAAGGGTCTACTTCTGTAGTTGGGTAACGGGTCTGCCAACGAAAGAAAAGGAATCAGATCCTATCGAACTGAAAAGACTGATGTGATGTTGAGGCTAGCCTGGTTGGAAACGATCCGAATCATCTAGAGGGCGGAAAGTGTAGCTAAGAGATAGAGCGAAAGCGGTTATGGTACTGAAATCGAAGCCCCGGAGAACTTGATATTGGTGGAGGTTCTGGTAGACTCTATTGGACCAAGTGAAAGACTCGCAGGTATCGTGAAAGCCAAGCTTGATGGGAAGGCCAAGCCTGGTACAATCAACTTGGGAGAGGGCGATTGGCCGTGTTCGTCAGAAGACCAGTAATGTACAGAGAGTTGGTTCCAACCAGTTCCATTTCAGAGTTAGACGACCGTTCGGCGTTGAACCCCGCGTATTGAGAATAGAGCTAGTACTAATCGAGTTTGTTGAATGGGAGGACGAGCGAGCGGCAATAAAGAGACCACGGTCACTGGGAAGCTACAGGAGAGGAGATAGTGCAATAGACCTCGATGAATAGACTGCTCGGGAAAGGGGAATCCCATGAATGTTGAACGTTGAAGTCGGTTCTGCTCTCCTAATCCTAATCCGTTCCAGCCAGATATCATCGCAACAAACTCAGACAAAGTGATTTACAGTATGGTGTAACTTGGTTGAGGTGGAGATCTCAGGAATCGCTCGATCGTCGGGATGTGGAGTTGATGGAGGTTTTCCCTGTTGAACGCTTCAGATATTTTTCGACTAGATGGGTGTACATCACGGATAGAGCGAGAAAAGATACGAATATGTTGGTTGTGGGAGAAACGGGGCCGATGCCTGTACGTCGATGGGATGATTGGCTAGCTTGTGGTCTTGGTGCCCAAGTTCTGTGAATATCAGGTAAATTAGTCAAGCTTGTCGGTTGCACGCACAAGTTCTATGTCCTTCCTTCCTAGGTATTCCAATTTCCCGTTCCCTATATCAATAATATTGAGGCCATCGAATTGATCAGAAGAGGTGTAGAGAGGATATGCAGCGTAGTACTAGTGGGAGAGCGAGGAAGAGTACAGACTCCAGAGTGCCAAGCGGCAAAAATTCACCGTCGGCGGATTGTCGGAGAAAGCTATCAACTCGTCGGACTTTGGACTTTTACATCATCGAGTCTCTCCTCCGAACTCATCAACCTCAACTGAACGTGCGGGTGAAAACTGGTCAAACACCTCGTATTTCTCATCTAGCCGCAACCTTTCACGCGTGCCTCCCTTTATCTCGTTCGACTTGGACGCATAGCCCTGATTCGATGACCTTCAACCAAAACATATCCTCTGCCCATACATTACATGTCGGAAGCATCCAACAATCAAGTCGTCGTTGACGACATCTATTTCGATTCGAACGATTGAACGCTTCACGTTGAGACGAAAGCATCCAAAGGCCGATGGATGGGACAAAGAAGAGAAAGCTTGGTTTCGAAGGTGTGTCCACCAGCACTGGAAAAACGGGTGGGACTTTTCAGGTTGAATTCAACGGTGCATCCGGATTCTACTCTTCTTTCTCCTCTCAGCTAACGAATATCTATCACAGGCACCTCGCATCCTAATCCTGGTCATCCTCCCCAGCCCGGTGCCACATCAATGACGCTCAAGACACATCATTCACCATCCCCGCCTCCAAAAAGATGTCAAACGACCAAGCCAGAACTAACTCTTGTTCAACGCGTCGGATCTGATAACATGAACGTACGAGGGTGTGTGCGATTCGGATAAATCGCCGATTAAGTGGTTGGTTTTCTGGTTATACCGGTGGGGGTGGTTTCGACGTCTTCGGGGAAAGCAAACAGGCGATGGGGATGATTTTTGAGGCTGCGTTTGGTGGAGTTGTTGGGCTTGTTCTACTCTGATTGGGGATTTGGTTTTTGATGAAACGATGAAGGAGAAATCAGAGGGAAGGTGTTACGGATTCACCTTGGTATGGTGGTACCGGAGGATCAGGGATGTATCTGGGTGGTGTGCATACGTATGCGGCTGTGACGCCTTTCGTCCCGAAGGAGGAGCACAGACCGTATGTGAACCCCGTGGCGCCTGGGAGACTGGAGCGGCTCGGGGAGAAGAGTACGACATCGTATCCATCCGAAAAATAGAGTCAACGATACTCGATTATGTCCACATCGTCGGCTGCCGTTCCTCTCCTCGCTGGTGCTTCTGGGTCGGTGTCGGGATCCGGGAGCAAACCATAGCATTCACGACATAACCAATCTCAATCAGGCTTTGTCGTTACACTCTCCCCACCTGACGTCGAATCGTCAATACGACGTATCAAAGGCACGAGGATAGTGGGGTTTGGTATGGGCAAGGCTCAAGGGCGCTTGTGGAGGACTTACCTCCGGATTATACGAGGTACTAACGTGTCGTTGTGTTTTTCCTGGGCTTTTGGGATCTGGATGGACTGTGTGTATCGCATATCGCATATACTTATTCTTCTCTGCTCTTTCACTTTTTCAATGGACCCTCAGATCGTTATTGCTATCATCTATCCCATCTATCGCCGTCATTACCTACACACATGCTTATGATCCGCCATCTGTTACACATGCCTTCTGAGACACAATCGAGACGGCTCAGTATGGCGCTGTCAGCCAATCTACTTCTCACTTAGCAGCATGGCGCAGTGGTAGCGCGCAGGGCCCATATGGTTCTGTGTGTTCGATGGAACCCCGAGGTCACTTGATCGAAACAAGTTGCTGCTATATAAATTTGATCTCGCAGTTTTGTTTTTTTCCTCAAAGTTCCCGGATCTCGGAAGGCTTGAGAAATTTGACATGTAGGATACGTATACATTACAATGAGTATCTACAGCACGTGCTACCTTTCAGGCAAGTAGTAGATATCGTACGGTGTTCGGCACCCAATCCGATTGAGGCCTCTTGAGTCTTTCATCGACATGGTATGCCACCGCTACGGTCAGTCCCACCCCGTTGCTTCAAATAAATGCTATAAAGTCGTCCCGAAATCCAATGTTTTGCCAGTTATTCCCCCCCCCCAAAGGTCGGCTACACTATTCCATTCAACTTGGCTTTTGGGCGAGTCAAAACCTCATCGTCAGCTTAAGAATCCCCCGGCGCTCCTTGAAATTCGCTCCTGCGTCACACACTGATAACGTCAAAACCAATCTTATTGTGTATTTGGACCTTTCTGAAAAACGCGCTCGAAAGTGAATTGGACCTTGTTACCGTCCTCAATCATGTATGCATCGTTGACATCGATATCGGTGGATAAACACTACAAGTTTGCTTCGATGCACCCTCTCACTCGCTCGCTACCTAAAAATGAAACCAACCTGGACTTACTGGTGACTGATGATCAGTACTCAGTACTCAGTGCTCAACGTCAGGAATTTCTTGTTTCCCCCCCCCTGGTGCTATCAAGACCGTCTTCTTCCGACTCTTTGTTTGCCAAGAACCGGCTAGAGTGGCCGATAACCACGTGGATACTCGCAGATTCGGCGGTGCCGGCCTGGCCGGGGTGGGCAGTGACTACCAACGCGGCGTCTTATTTGTTTCATTTTAAAGCCTCCCTGCCAAATCGTGTGGTTCAGGTGTCCGCGCAAGATATTTCAGCGTAGAATGATTGTATACCCACAGTTAGTGAACCAAACACTTCTTATGAACCTTTTCGAGTGCGTGGTGCAAGCATTTTAGAGATTTTGAGAAATTGGGCGAGACACTACCTGATACCACTGCCAAACCAGGTCCCGTGATCGCTCAAAATCCGATTTTCGACAATCGCTTGCACCATGCACTCGAGAATGCTTTCAAACGCGTGAACCCGCATTCTAAGGGTGATTCAAGGTGTTGTCGTAGAATAATGTTGCTTTTGAAATTGGACACGTTTAGCCTGAGTGGATGTCACAAAGGTGTTACTTCTGTGTGAAAAATCATGTTCTGAAGCCCAAACACTGGCTGACACCACTGGGGAGTTGCTCGACTCCAGAAAATACACATTAGAGTTACCATAAATGACCTTATCGCCGATGCCATCAAAACTCGGGCGCTGCGCACCTCCAGGTGAGCTCTTGGCACCTGGCTCATACATCGGCGAAACCTCTAACACGGTTCCCCAGGGGGGAACGGCCCTTGCAACCCGGGAACACCCCTCCCCTGTTGGCGAGGATGTATACAGGGGTGAACCATCGCCTTTTTGCGTACAACCGTTGCATAGTGTAGGTAAAAATGTACATTAGCTACACGATGTATGAAAAGATGGACAACTTACACACCTTGAGAAACGTTGTACATCTTTGCCTCCATCTTGGAGACGTTGTACATCTTTGTCTCCATCTTGGAGAAGATGTACATCTTGCGGCGCAAGTTGGATGCAAAGATGGAACTCCAGCTACAAGATGTAGCCGAAGTTGTGCACCCATCTACAGCTATTCACATTCTTTCCAGAGTTTTCAGATAGAACCAGTGGAGTCGGGGGACAACAACATGAGAGTGAAGTGTGTCATTGTATAATTGCTCAAAACTACTAGTTACACATGCGGGAAAATAACCACGCAAACAGACAAGTACTTAGATTTAATAAACCAGGGCCGGGGGCGACCTTTATGGAAGGTCAGTACAGGGTTAGAACGAAGCGAAACGGATCAAGATAGAACGTACTTGGTTGTGTTTGCAATGGGTAGCTTCGACTCCTCCGTGACCTCATCACCGGCTTCAGACGAAGAAGCGATTGAGCTGGATCAAATTTTAATTTACATCAATCCGTACGCACATTAACAATCAATATGGGACTTACGAGCGAATCCCATATCACCAAAAGCGTCCAGGCGCAAACAGACAGGCCCGGAATCGGACTCTGGAGCCAACTCTAGAAGGTCGGTGCTGAGGACGAGTGTTTCATGTGTAACATCAGCAGCAGTTCCTAGGACGGTGCGTGCGGCTTGAGCAACCCGCTGTGAAATGAGTCAAGACAATACTGCATAGGCCAGTATTGGGTGCATATAGCCAGGTATCGAGCACCCACACGCGAAGAAATTGACGAAAAAATTATAGAAAATACTACTCACCTGTCTGGTGGCAATCCAACCTGCCATCTGCTCGAACCCTTTTCATTTTCCATCTCGAACATATTTTTGATCCTTCTAAGACTCCTTGGCCGTGTATGAAACGAAGATCGTGGTTCACAAGATTCCATTTGTGCAATAGAGGACCATGACTGTTGATTTGGGACTTCTGAGGTAAGATGTAACAAGTGAGCGAGTGTGTGGGTGGCGGGTGGTGAGGGTATAGTTTGGAGAGAAGACGAGGACTTGACCACGATGATGGTGACACTGAGCCAAGCCAGGCATGAGGCAGTGCGGCACGCGCAAGCGTGGGTTGTATCCAAGGCCAAATAAAGATTCTGGCGCAAGCGCCTAGGGTTGGGAGCATGTGACACCTGGGCGCTTGCGCCAGAATTTTGTTTGGCTCTGGTGACAACCCGCACCGGTTGACGCCAAGTCAAATCTCGCATCTCTTGACTCTGGACTACCACAATTAAGCAATCATACGAGCTGCCGGTTGCGCATTAGAGGGAAGTATAGGGAAATGGCGTCGTCAACAACCTCGGTCATATCGATATTGAAAAACACTTTCGTGCAAACCCAAACACGCGCGAAACTCGCTGGGATGTGAGATCCTGCGACTGTATGTTCCCCCCCTCCAACTACCCTTTTAGCTATTTCACTCACATTGAACGACGACGTTGGCTTCAAATGCCAGGATGAACCATTCGTACCTTCAAGTTCTGAGAACCGATCAATATCTGGATTTGCATGGTCTTGGGTGTTCCGAATCGGAACTTGGAGGTATAATTACGGAGATCATGGCTCGGGGATAGACGTATTATAGGACATGAGAAGATGTTGGTCAATGCGACTAGGTTTCCTTTTGCTCATTGAGGGAAGGCTCGTGAAAGATCGAAATCCGAAGACATGATTGATTGCGCTTGCCAAAACATTGCTGTGGTGTAGGCAGGGCGGCCCACTGCCACGCTGTTGGAGCTTGTGGACCAAGAATCTCTATCATTACTGACGCCCCTTGGACCTCGACTCTGCTCGTGGCAAATATAACATTATGATTTTCACTTTCCTGTCGTTGTAGGCATATATATTACCAGGAGAAGTTGTATTGATCTGATGTTTTGGAGGCGTGCTACAACCCATGCATAATGTCTGTACCTGTATAAAAAGATGATATCCATTGTAAAGATACCTTGTCTGATGACCGTGAGTGTACCGACCCCTTCCAACATGAATCGCGGTATGTACATCTCATTGCCTATCTTTCTAGTGAGTTTACATCTTATTGCATCCTTATTACATTTGTACATCTTACCGTACATCTTACTCCATCTTTGATATGTTTTTACAACCTCGCTAATAGTTTGATTCTAGTGTACATCCTCTTCCATCTTTATACGGGGTGTACAACTTTGTCGACAACATGGAAGGATGTTGTATACTACCGGAAATCCTGGTCGCGGGTGTCCAACCCTTCCATCCCCGGGAACCGTCCATGGGGTTTTGCCGATGTACGCCACTTCACAGGGTGGCCCAAATCCCAATACTTACCAATCGTCTGATGCGAGATTTTTGTCTCCAGGGTATATTAGGGCTTGACTCACCGTTCGTTCATCATTACCTTGACCACTTATTGCCCAAAACCCTTACTTCAGCCGGCTGCCTCGAAAAGAAAAAAGGGAGATAGATGGGCAACGGTTGTTCATGCATGGGGGGGTCGACGCCGGCGGAGTCCAAGGACCCAACTCCTCTGAATCCTGAAAGCGGCATTTCCGGGAAACGTGAAAGTGGAAGGGAAATACACCTCAAGACTGCTCCTCATCACGCCTCTGACTCGGCAGAGCATGGAAGGACTCGTAGGACCAGGGATCAGGGGTCCCTGGGTGATGATGCGGATGATGTGGCGGCACTGCTGTCGCAAGAAGAGCGAGGACCGTCTGAAGGCGATTCAGAGTCGAACTCGCGGACGGGGAGGCAAGATCTAGCACAGGTAAGCCCTTGACTTTTTTTGCCCTAGTTCATGAGTCCAGAATATTCACATTTGTTTTTTTCTTTTTCCCTTTGCCTTTTGCCCACTATGAATCGCAAGACGGACTCACCAGCTCACCTCACTGCGGCGAGACACCGACAGAACACAGGTAGCCAAAGCGGACACGTTGAACGCGAAGGTGGCCACCACCGTGCATATAACAACTATAACGGACCAACAACCATAATCCACATCAATAATCATCACGGGGATGTCTTCGATCGCAGTCCTGTGGGACGAACTTCGAGAGACGCGGTTGACTACAGTGGTCAGAGTGTGTCATCACCAGGTCAGCACCGGAATAGAATGATCCCTTCTAATCCCAACCTGACAATGTCCTTTTACCATGGCCGATAGGTTCTCCTCGGGCCCAAACTCGCCTCGACCGAACGGATAGTCTACCCACGCCGGGTAGCAGTTCGAACCTCGATGCATGGGTCCCACCCTTGCCTTCCAGAGGACGGCGCTCTGCCTATGTCCCTGTTCCTGGGGAACTTGAACTACCGTCGGCGACATACGCGCCCGCGCGTTGGATCAATCCAGGTGAAGTGTGGGAACCCTTTTCAGGGAACAGATGGCGGTAGTGCGTTGTAGCCGCTGTGGTCCGCGTGCTTTCTTCCTCTGCGCCGGTCGTAACCCCCCGACGTTCCATCGAT